TGGGGGGCTGTCTCGAGGAGTACAGACCTACTTGTCATCGACTAAGTGATTCACTCGTTGCGACCCGCAGGTCGGGGACTGCCTCGAGGAGGAGCTCTTCCCCGCGTCACCCTCGCCACCGCCGCCGTCCACCTCGCCGTCGCCGTCCGCCGAGCCTGTGCCTCCTCCGTCCACCTCGCCGTCGCCGTCCGCCGAGCTTGTGCCTCCGCCGTCGCCTCTGCCGCCGCCTCGCCCGCCGCCGCCGGCCCCTCCGCCGCCCTCTCCGCCGCCGCCGCCGCCGTCGCCATCGCCACCGCCGCCTCGCCCGCCGCCGCCGGCCCCTCCGCCGCCCTCTCCGCCGCCGCCGCCGCCGTCGCCATCGCCACCGCCGCCTCTGCCGCCGCCTCGCCCGCCGCCGCCGGCCCCTCCGCCGCCCTCTCCGCCGCCGCCGCCGCCGTCGCCATCGCCACCGCCGCCTCTGCCGCCGCCTCGCCCGCCGCCGCCGGCCCCTCCGCCGCCCTCTCCGCCGCCGTCCGCGTCGCCCTCGCCACCGCCTCCCTCGGCATCGCCCTCGCCGCCGCCGCCACCGCCTCCGAGCGCATCGCCTTCACCACCGCCGCCGAGCGCATCGCCGTCACCACCGCCGCCGAGCGCATCACCGTCACCGCCGCCGCCATCGCCGCCGCCGCCGCCCGCGCCTCCGTCGCCGCCACCAGCAGCGCAGCTGCTCGACCTTCGCACGGCCACCACGTACCAGGACTCGAGCTTGTTCGACAAGCAGGCGCCCGTGAGCGACCTGTCATATGCCGACAGCACGACGGGACGGCCGTGGGCCGAGTGCGGCCAATACACAAGCCACACGTGGGGCGTCGACCTCGGGAGCGAGGTGTATGTGCGCTACGTGCGGCTGCAGAACCGCAACGACTGCTGCCCGGAGCGGCTGACGGACGTCGACATCTGTCTCGGCTCGACGGCGGAGACGTACGCGGGCAACGAGCTGGTGAAGTCGGACGTGAGCGTGTCGTCGAACGTGATGTTGGAGGTGGAGATCAACGCGCTGGGGCGCTACATCTACCTCAACCGGCCGTCTGCGGCGGGGCTGACGGTGTGCAAGTTCTACGTCTTCGCTTCGCCCGCGACGCCGCCGTCCGTCTCGCCGTCGCCGCCGTCGCCGTCCGCCTCACCCTCGCCGCCGCCTCCCTCATCGCCACCGCCGCCCCCTACGTTCGGATGCGCCGACAGCCTATCTTGGGAGGATGCCTGGGGGGATGGCTGCGACTGGTATGCGGAGCACGACCCCGGCTGCACTACATACTCCGATTACGGGCAGCAGTCAAATTGCCCTTCCACCTGCGGCACGTGCTCGTCCGTTCCTGCACTGCCGCCGCCGCCCTCCGCGTCGCCGATGCCGCCGCCGCCCTCCGCCTCGCCGTCTCCGGCGCGACCCTCGCCACCGCAGCCCGAGACGTACACCTACGAGGTGAGGCAAGAGAACGCCGAATGTGCCAACCAGTGGATGAACCTGGGAGAGTACGCCAGTGCTGAGCTCTGCTCGCTCGCCGCGGGAGCAGCCGGCTGCACGACCTTCATGTTCTCCTCGGCGTACACCTCGTGGGGCTGCCGCTGTTGCTCGGAGCCCGACCCGCCGAAGGAGCACTCGCTGTGGACGCTGTACAACGTGCTGCCGCCGCATCCGTCCGCGTCGCCGTCGCCACCGCCTTGATCTGGTCGAGCGACGCAGAGGCTGCACCTTGATCAAGTGGGACGACGGCAAGGTGCAGCACTGGAGGCAAACGAGCAACCCCATGGTGCAAGTCGGAAGGCCGCGACCGTCCGCAGGAGAGCATGGATTGCATGTTATGTACGTGTACGTGTCACGTGAACCCCCCCCACACCACACACAAACACACACACACACGACACACACACACATAGAGAGAGAGTTTTACGTGCGAGAGAGAGAGAGAGAGACAAACTGCAGCGCGTCTCAGGCTCGAATGATGGGCAGCGTGCGTGACCTCAACGACCAGGGCGTCGAGTACAGTGTGCGCAAGACCGAGGCCGCGTGGCGCGAGGCCGGCAGGTCCGGTGAGGACTCGGTCTGGGCGGCGCTCTCACAGCTGCTGCCGTGAACAGGCGGGAGCAGCTCTCGGACGAGGAGTACTACGTGCTGCGGCAAAAAGGGACCGAGTACCCTGGATCAGGTCAGTCCGCCCACCGGTTGATACAGCGCTTAAGAGAGGTACAACCACAGCTCAATGAGGGAGCACCCGAAGTGCAACGCACCACACACACACACACACACACACTCACACACTCACACACACACTCAGTCACTCACTCACTCACACACTCCTTCACTCCTTCACTCCTTCACTCCTTCACTCACTCACTCACTCACTCACTCACTCACTCACTCACTCACTCCTTCACTCCTTCACTCCTTCACTCCTTCACTCCTTCACTCACTCACTCACTCACTCACTCACTCACTCACTCACTCACTCACTCACTCACTCACTCACTCACTCACTCACACACACACACACACACACACACACACACACACACACACACACACACACACACACACACACACACACACACACACACACACACACACACACACACACAGAGAGAGAGAGAGAGAGAGAGAGAGAGAGAGAGAGAGGATTGAGGGGGTCACAATTCACAGACCTTGCTTTAAGAAGAGATACCTCCCATGCGCTGATCGCCAGCCGACTCACACACGAGGCGTGCCGTGCGTGCTCAGGCAAGTACGACAAGTTCTACCCAAAGGCAGGCCACTTTGTGTGCGGCGGGTCGCAAGCACGCGCGGCGCGGCGCGCCGTGGCCTGTGAACGGCGTCTCTTCACACACCGCTGCCGTGAACAGGTGCGGCGCGCCGCTCTACTCCGCTGCGGCAAAGTTCGACAGCGGGTGCGGCTGGCCTGCCTTCGACCGGATCGTCGAAGGCAGCGCGCACTGGTACGCCAGGCAACCACCCCCAACCAGCTCTTCGGTCAGTGGGCTGCGGATCCCCGTAGGCACAGCGCAGTGTGCCGGCAAGCCGACGGGCGCCTCCTCGTTGAGTACTGCCACTACTGTCAAACTCCGTAGGCGCGGCGTGGTGACGCAATCTCGCGCAATCTCGCACTCGTGCAGTCTCGTGCACTCTCCCTCTCCTAGGCGCCGTGGTGACGCAGACAGACACTTCCCTCGGGATGCGGCGCGTCGAGATCCTCTGCGGCTCGTGTGGCGGCCACTTGGGCCACGTCTTCGAGGGCGAGACAGTAGAGCGCGAGATTGCGCGAGATTGCGCGAGATTGCGCGAGGTTGGTGCTGAGGCGTGCGGGCGGGCGGAGATCGCCCGAGATCGCTTGTGAGGCTGATTGGTCGGCGCAGTTGATCATCCGAGACTGCACGAGACTGCCCGAGGTTGTCCGAGATCGCCCGCGAGATCTCGCGAGGGTGTTTGTGCCCCTTCCAGGCGAGCGCTTCACCCGGACCAATGAGCGGCATTGCGTCAACTCGGCGTCGGTGAGGTGCGTCAGCTCGCCTTGCACTGGAAAGCCGGGCGGGGGGAGGGGAGGGGGAGGGGGGGGGGGGGGGTCGGAGCCTTCGGACGTGGAATCGCGAGGGCTGCCTGAGCCTGTGGAGAGCGGCCTTCCGCGCACCTCGGACCTCGTCCAGGTACGTCGACGCTCCGCTGCCCGATGGCGCAGCCGAGACCAAGGTGCTCCCCGCCTCGAACCACTCGGAACCTTCTCGGAACTCTCTCTCGGAACCACCTCGGAACCTAGTCGGAACTTGCTCGGAGCCTTTCCACGGGTGCTGCCAGCGCCCGTGAGGACGGCTCGAAGGATGACGCTAACCACCATCCTCGGATCCTTCTCGGAACCTTCCCAAAGGTGCTCCCCGAGCCCGAGGACGACGCTGCGGGCGCGAAGAGCATCCTGAGCGAGCTGCTCGGCAAGAAGGGAGGGCAGGGAGACTGAGCTATGTAGATGGCTCGGCCGACACTGCGGCGGCTCTTGCGTGGCTGACAGCCCTGACCGTTCCTTCTCTCGCTCGCAGCAGACATGGAACCTTGCACGCCCGCCCCCCGAGCCGGCGTGTCTGGGACCAACCAGTGAGTTGTGTAGAGCAGCGGTGCTCAGTGGAAGAGGGAGGGGTGGCGGGGCTGGACACACCGCGCACGACATGGGGTCTGACACAGGTGACAGCACCGGAGAGTCTCGCATGGCAGACTCTGTTGTCAGACTGTCACGTACGTGCTGTCGGGCTGTCAGAGAAAGTGCTGTCAGAGCTGCAAGCTGTCGGGCACTGTCAGGTGCCGTGTCGTCCGGGTTTTACTGGTCAGGCTTTCAGCTGGCACGGCCATGGCACGGCCATGCATGGCCTCGACACCTCGACACACCAAACCTCGACACCAGACCCCTCGACACCAGACCTCGACCGATTCTTGCAGCTCGACACCCCCCTCGAGGTGCCTCGTCCCTCGACACACGACATAGACGACACCCCTCGACATCCCTCGACACCCCTCGACACCCCTTGACACTCCTCGACACCATCCCGACCCCGACACGTCGACTCCCCCCCCCCCCCCCCCCCTCGACACTACCTCGACACATCTTGATCTTCACAACACACGAAGCGGATCCGCGCACCCAGTTGACCAAGGGACGGTCCCAGGAAGAAGGCATTCCCCCGTTTGGCATTCCGTGTTGTCGTGACAAGGATCCCCGCTTTCTCCGCTTCGGCAGCGGTTGTCGGCTCACCGCGAGGTCCTTTCACGGCCACGCCTCGCTCTTGCCCCAGCTCGGGGAGCTAGGCAGGGCCTACCTCGCCGCCCGGGCGGCGCTCGGGGCGGCGCCTGAGTGGCTCTTCCAGCTTCCCGGCGAGCGGCGGCCGCTGACGCGTCACATGGCGGGCTGGGTGAGCGAGACGCTCGACGAGGAGGGCGCGCGGGCTCCGGCCGGCTTCGTCTACCTCGGCCACTCGCTGCGCTCTGGCGGCTCGAGCGCCGCGGAGGCCATCCGAGTGCCCCGCTTTCGGGGCAACTGGCTCGGCGGCTGGTCTCAGAATGGCCGGACACGCGACGACGCGAGCTTCACTACATGGACCCGTCGGTGCTGCCGTCGCCCGAGGCCTACGAGCTTCTCGGCTGGCTCCTGGACGGATCCTACCAGGCGCTTCCACCGTCGTGGGAGCGCCGCCGCGGCGCTGACACAGCGGAGCCTGGCGTGGTAAGCTCAGCTGTTAACTTCCCCGTTGTTTGCTCTCCCTCCCTCCCTTACCCTGTTCATGACTTGCTAGCGGGACCTGAGTATTGTATAAAAATACTGTAAGGCATATCGATTCCCTGGGCGTTCACTGGCGCTCGCTTGTTAGATATTTAGGAGCGGCCGCACACTGCTCGGTACCCCCCCTGCACATCTAAAGCCATGGCCGACCCCCCCCCCCCAGCAGCAGCGCTCTGCTGCTGGGGGGGTCGGGACCCCCCCCCCAGCAGCAGCGCTCTGCTGCTGGGGGGGTCCGGACCCCCCCCCGAGCAGGAGCGCTCTGCCTGTGGTGGGTGCTGGCATCTCTGACAGACA